CCCCCCCCCCCCCCCTCTCTCGTTGACGGTCGTTCGTGGCTGATAAAACGTAGAATGGAATTTTCATCGAGATTCAAATAGAATAGTCAGTAGTAGGGGAAAAAGGAAAGGGAAGAGAGAGAAAAATAGACTTTGGGTGCGTGACGTCTTTGTGTTTAATAAATTCATATTTCGGGGAATTATGCTATTGTATTCTCGATTTAACGTGCGTCGTTTGCTGATAATCGCGAAACGGCTCGTTTTATCGGCTGGAGTACATCCGAGCAATTTCCTCGTTTACGATCCTGATTGCACAGCAGACGTAAATTAATTCAGCGAAAGATGGAGGCAATTACTGTGCATGCGAAGTGGTCCAAAAAACGATAAGAGACGCAAATGTTCGCAAATTATTGAAAGGCTTAAATATACCATTCGCCTACGCCTTTTTACGAATCTTTTAGCGAATTCTTTTTGCATCAAATGATGTATTGTCAGTCGACGAGTTAAAATTAGATACTACTTTAAAAAAAAAAATTAATTACGAATCAGTGGCATTTGCCGAGAAATTCTATACCACGGTTCAAGTATCCAATGTAAAACTTTGTAAACAAATACGCGACAGCTTGAGCGTTGGCGGAAGGTTAATTGGTCAGCTCCGACTAAGACTATATTTAACAACAATCCTCCAGGAGACGGGTATTATTTTTATCTTATCGTAGCCTCCCGCGGATACTTTCCCCTCTACTTTCCTAATAACGACATCAGTCCCCATGGTCGTTTTCAGTTCAATTAGCACCCCTGTACAATCCCCGGGTCGCTATTGCTTTATGGGTATTGAAATCTTTTTCCGAAACCCTCGGGACATCCTACGTCCCCGTAGGATTCGCGTGTTCCGGTGAAATAAATGGATTTCTCTCTCGACATGCTGCTTCGTGCTGACCTAATGACGACGTGATAATTGTACTCGACATACTCGGCGGCGTGAAGCTTGTTTACCGTGTGTCAGTCGAATACCCGGAACGACCAACATTTGCGAACGTATACGCGATTCTCCACTTTCTTGCTTGTCCCAGCTGGGAGATCCGCGAGAAAATTGTATAAAAAAAAAATGCGACACGATCTTAATTCGGTATTCACTCCTAAATTGCGAGACGTGCAGTCCTAAGGAGAACGAGAAAGTAAAAAGAATGTCATGTACATTGACCGAATTAAATATAAAATTTACATAAATTCGGTCAATAATCGCTCAATATGATGTGAATTGATTATTTTAATTTTCTTGTCTTCCTTGGAATAAGCAAAAGTTTTTTTCCCTTTTCCGCGCTGTTGGAATCCATCTATCTACACAGCAGACTTTGTCATAGGGATGTCTTATTGTGAACGTTCTTAGGAGCGTCCTCCAGACATCTTTAGAACTTCCTTGGAGGTCTATAATGCTGTACGGTTATCACACGCTGCGATCTCTCTTTCTCGCCTTCCAGGTAGAACACAGTCATAATTAAGTCATAATGAGTGCTTTCCATTTAGTGACACAAGTCGACACAATGTCTATCTTACTCTCTAAGTGTCAAGAAAGGTAGAATGGTGTTGTGTCAACTTGTGTCACTAAATAGAAAGCACAGTCAATAAGGAACACCCCAAGTAAAGAGAAAGTAAAAATAACTTTATTTTGACGTCATGAAGATCAAAATAATGATTTTCAGTTACAAAATTTGACTGTCTTGATATTTATAAGAATCAAAATAAAATCATTTTGATTGTTAATATCAATAATAAACAGTCAAATTTTGTAACCAAAAATCGTTATTTTGATTTTCATGGCGTCAAAATAAAATCATTTTCATTTTCTCTTTACTTGATGTTCCTTGGATAAAAGTGAACTTATAAATGACAAATAAGGAGATCAATGATGAGAGAGAGAGAGAGAGAGAGAGAGATTATCTTTATGATATGCTATTACTATTATAACTTCCGTGCTCTACTTGAACTAATTATCTCGACACGTCGAATGTAATTAATTAATTAATTAACGCCATTAATCACGGCCGACCATCCATCTCCCACCTAATCTCGATGACAATTCCGGGTTCAATTCGGTCGCAACTCAATGTCGGTCCTCGATTCCGACACGCGCCCAACCTACGCCGGGCGCTCTTATGGCACTGTTGCTTCGTGCTCTTATCGCGCAATTGAATTCTATTATACTCGCGTTGATTCTGGAGTATCTCGATAAGTGCCGACGGCGCTATTTGAGATACCGAACCCGGTCCCGGAAAACAATAGCGACGGGTGGCGACGTTTAGCCACGTGTTGGCTCGGGTCAAAAGTTCACGTCCCCGAGCTCTCGCGTAGCGACGCGACATTCGGTGCGTCTCGCATTTCGTGTTTCGAAATACGTTGTATATAAATTTCGGACCGCGTCAACCCTCCCAGGTAGCTGGAGAGTGGAAGAAAAAAGGAAGAGAGAGATCGATACATATCAGCGAGAGATGCCACCTCGAAACACTTGTGCGTAAAAAGCGGGAGCACGCGCCGCCCGAATTCGCGAGAGAAAACGCCCGATCGATTCCGGCGACTTTCCTCGCGCGCTCGCACGCGCGCCCGCGCAGAAGCAAGCCGGGGGCTTTTTAACCTTCCTCGTTCTCGAGAGGGGTGGCATGACGCGGGTCGAGTCTTTCGTAGCTCTCCCTTCGCGACGCCGCGTGGAGGATCTAAATTAATGCGGGGATGACCCGCGATGGACCAAATGGATCCTAAGCAGAACAACAAATCGTGATACGCGATTGAAAAGTGACTTTCAATGATCAACCACTCTGACGCCATTTTGATTGTAACTTTTTAGAGTGTTTTTTCCGTTTGGAAAAAGTGATGCAAATATACAGAACGACATTTGAATCAATTTGAGTCACTAAATGAAAAGCATCCTTCCCAGACAGCACAGAATATTTATGATAAATATTTATTAATATTCATTTTTTGAAATGTTATATAGATATTTCATACATATTTTATATAAAGCTTTATTCGAAATATTATTAAAATATAGACTCTAAATATTTTATGTAGTATTTATGATAAATATAAATAAATATTTCTAATAAGTATTTTTTACTTATAATGTTTCATTAAGTATGTTCATAGCATTTACTACAACATTCAAATAAATATTTTATAATATTTATAATAAATGTTTATGTGCAATCTAAGAGACCATAAAAATATATATATATATATTTACAAAATATTAAAAATAAATCTTATAAATATTTATAAATACTTTGTAAATATTTTATAAATATTGTTTGCTGTCTAGATTCTTATAAGCACATGATATTCCTAGAATGTTGCATGAATAATATTTATTCTTTTTAATATTCATATAACATTCCAAGAATATTGTATTATATGGCTTGAGATGATCATTCCAGAAGTTGGTGTTTTCGTGTTTTTACAGAGGGTCCTCGTCCGGCGTAAAATGGGAACGTAAGGGCGCGACGTAGCAGGGCCTTGAATACTCACCCTCAAGCCCGCCAACCCCACAATATACCTTCCCCCCGCCGCCGTCATATCCGCCCACCGCGGCTTAGTGGGCAACGACCAATGAGCACGCTCGGAACAA